TGCGAACTGCTGCTGCTAGTCGAGACCATACCCGATATTGTGATTTTCACCAGGATCACGGCCATACTACAGAGCAGTGTAACAGTTTAAAATCCAAACTGGAAAGTTTAGCTCAGAAAGGAATGCTGAATGAGTATGTACAGCGAGCTGAACAACCGAGGTTTGTCAGAGAACAGAGGCCGCAGCCTCAAGGAGTCCACAATCCCCCAAATAGGCAAGGTGTGGGTTATCAACAAACCCCACCCCCACTCCCACCACCAGCTAGAATCATACATATGATTACGGGAGGCCTTGAAGCAGGTGGACTGAGCTCTAAGCAGCAAAAGCTGTATGTTATGGAGGTTAAACATCAAAATCGAGCTCAGAAGCGGAAGATTGACGATGCTGAATGGAAGAATCAACCAATTACTTTCACATCTGCTGATCTAGGTACAGTTGTTACACCCCACAACGATCCTTTGGTCACTTCTGTCATGATTAACAACTGTGAAGTACAGCGTGTCCTTGTTGACACCGGGAGTGCACCAGACATCATGTATTTCCACTGTTTCGAGAGTCTGGGACTAGATCCCGCATTGTTGCAGAAGCATGATGGTCCTATCTATGGTTTCAACAACCAACCTGTTCCAGTAGAAGGAGTCCTTACCCTCCATGTGGCTTTTGGGAGTGGTCGGACCTATGTAGCCCCTTCAATCCGGTTCCTCGTCGTCAAGATGGCCTCTTCTTTCAACATTGTTATTGGCCGACCCACATTGACTAACATCCGAGCCGTGGTTTCCCAATCTCATCTTTGCATGAAATTCCCCACTCCTATGGGAATAGCAACACTGCGAGGAAATCAGGAGGTGGACAGACACTGTTATATCACCTCGGTAACCCAACCAACGAAGGGTAAAGATAAGACACCCGAAGTTATTCCCCAGCGAATTCCCGATAATCAGCAGGTTATGGGTGTTGAGATCGTAGATAATCGACCAGAAGATGAAACTAGAGCTGCTCCAGTAGAAGATGTTGAAGAAGTGCTCGTTGATGACAAAGATCCGAGCCGAAAGACGCAGATCGGAACTAGATTGAACCCGGAGGAGAGAGCAGAACTGATAGCTTTTCTCCGAGCTAACAATGATGTATTTGCATGGACTTCGGCCGATATGCCAGGAATTCCAACTTCAGTTTGTCAACATAAGCTCAGTACTAACCCATTAAAGAAGCCAGTGGCCCAGAAGCGGCGTCTCTTCGGGGGGGAGAGGCTACAGGCTATTAAAGAAGAAGTAGAGAAACTCCTACACGCTGGTTTTGTCCAGAAGGTTGATTACTGTGAATGGGTGGCTAACCCAGTCCTAGTAAAGAAGGCCAATGGCAAATGGCGAATGTGTATTGATTACACAAATCTTAACAACGCCTGCCCCAAGGATTGCTATCCAATACCGAGCATTGACAAACTAGTTGAAGCGGCTTCAGGCAATGAGAGGTTAAGCCTCTTGGACGCATACTCGGGGTATCACCAGGTGCCAATGGCTCCAGAAGACGAAGAAAAAACTGCGTTCTATGCTGGCGATGAAATTTATTGTTATGTCATGATGCCGTTTGGCTTGAAGAATGCAGGTGCTACTTATCAGAAAATGGTGACCATTGTCTTCCACGCTCAGATTGGCAAAAATCTGGAAGTGTATGTCGATGACATTGTGGTAAAGAGCCTCAAAGCAGAAGACCAT